GGCGGCCCCCCGGGGGGGGGGGGCCCCTCGGGGGGGGGGGCGTGAAGGGGGATAGAGGTCTTCCCCCCCCCCCGGCGGAAACCTCTCCTGAACCCTGGAATGAGCGTCAGGAATAACGTCGGCGTTTCTCCTGAGGTAAATGTGAGGGGAAACACAAACACAGGTGTGTCCCCCCCCCCCAAAAAAAAAGGCTAAAAAGCCAGGAACTGTGAGGAACTTGCTCCCACGAGCCCTGTTCTGGCGGAATCTCCACAGAATCTCTGGAAGAAGGGAAAACTGAAAGGGAAAAACAAATGAAACGGAAGGGGTTCGGTGGAATCAGAAGAGGAGAAAGAGGAGGAAAGGGAAACAACAGGTCCGACCGGAGAGGAAGAGAGGAAGAAACAGAAGAAGAAAAGCAAGAGAAGCCCCGCGAGGGTATCAAACGGCAGCCTTTCTCTCCCCCCCACAAGAAACAACACAAAGAGACTCGTGGGTTGTCGTTGTGGTTTTTATTGGGACGTTTCCGTGACAGCTAATAAGATACAGCAGTTATGAAGCAGACATGGAGTCACTACAACAGCCGACACAAGGACACTTCCCAGCTGATGCCATCCTGGTGCCATTCGGGCTGCCTGTGAGAGCCAGCAGCGAGGGGGGGGGGCGCGAAACTGAAGTCCTGGAAAAGGATCCTCTCTTTTTAAAAAATTAACATTAAAAACAAACAAACAAAAAACCCAACCCCTGCATATTTAAAACCATCATTTTCAAGGGATTCCTACGCCAGACACTGAGATTTATCCAGTTTCAAATGTTAAATGGAAGAGACTTTCAGCTTTCAAATGCTGGTGGTTTGGAGACATGGAGACAAACTTGTACCGAAGCGATGCAACCCCAGGCGGCAGAGGGAGAAGAAAGGTTTGCTTGAACCAAGAGGGCTTGCATCTTATTCGGCAGCACCCAAAGCAAAGCCAGTTCTGCCCCCGAACCTGCCCTGCCCAGATCAGATCCCCCCCCAGGCCCGGCCTCACCTCTGCCTGAAGGAGAGACCAGACCTCTCTGCCCTTCCTGTGCCAGGGCGATGGCTTCCCGGGGGTGGGGGGGTCACAAGGCCACCTGGCAGAGAGGCTGTGCCCCTGGCCGGGTCCACGCCACCCACCCAGGAGGGATTCCCTTTTTTCAAGGGCCTGAGGAGGGCCCCTCACAACAGCCACTCCTTGCACGAAGTCGCATCCTGACACCCAGGCAGATGCATTTGAAGTGCAGGGCATGATTTCAGCACTGGCCAAGACTAAGGATCCAGTCACGTGCACACCTACAAGGCTTTAACACTGCACACGTGATCAGCCGATATTTAATTTAAAAAAAAGTTTTGATTTTTTTAAAAAATAAAGTTCCACCCCAATTTGAAAGCTGAGAAGCATTTTGGTAAAATCTGGATGCAAGTTTATGCTGTTTAATCAGGGAATTCATCACTGACAGGAAAAATAAGTGATCTAAAACTTAATGAGGTAATATTTGTTCAGTACTCGGCACTGCAGAGTTCAAAAGGGTTCCTGTATATATTTTTCCAGCATTGGAGAGCTTATTCCGTATCAAATTAACAAAAGCAGAAATACAGACATTCCACATTAAGAAAAGCATAACCAGGCTTTAAAGGATGAGAAAACCTGGGAAAAAACACAGATGAATGTTTTCTGCTGTGTACCAAACACTAAAAATGTTAAGCAACTAAAAGTGCAGGTGAAATACTGTTATGTAACATATTAGATGAATTACAAAATATTAGTTAAACTCAGGGACTTCTTTCTTTAAAAGCATCTTCTTTGTGAAGCAGCATGTAGGTTTGAGGCGACAAAAAGCAATAGACTAGCAAGTATAAGGATAACGCCTATGGAGATCTACCACTCTTGTAAGTAAACAAGGTACAGTAAGGCTTTTAAAAAAAAACAGGTAAACAACATGAACAAAATAAAAACATACTTTTAAACATATATGGAGTAGTTCAGTTTTTTGAGATAACATCGTTCCACGAGATGATAGGCAATATCCCAGTTAATTCAGAGAGTCAGTAGGATGTTACAGGAGATTGTTACATTCGGGTTTCTGATTTTTAAAAGTGCTGCTGTTTCCATAAATCTGTTTCATTAAGTGGGTACAGTGAGAGTCCAACAACGTTGGAGACATTTAACGTGCCCCCTCCCAATGAAAGAAGACATCATCTTCTGAGCCTCTGGCTAGTTCAAGGCCTTCTTGGAGAGGATCCTTCTGCATTGCCCACGTCTGCTCATTGCTTGAACTGGCCATAAGCGCAGAGGATGCCCAGCCTTGATGAGACATTTTAAAGGTAGGCCTAAGAAGAAACACACTTCCTTAGTAGTCATTTTGGTAAACCCATACCAGATGTCAAGTAAATGTATTCAAGTAAAAACTCTTCCTTCATAAAGAAACGAAATAGACTGAAAGACAACACTTGAGTGCAGGTACCTGAATCTTTTCTAAAACTGAAACCAACAGAAAAACCTACACCTCCCCCTTATCCATGATGCCATAACAAAACATCAGAGAAGGGAAAGCCCCCCTCCCCAAAAAATCAACTTTTCAGAACAGTCCTTAAAAAAAGGCACATGTCCTTCCCATTTAAAGCCGACTTGGTCAAGCAACCAAACATCGCACTAAGGATGTGCCCAAAAAGATATTTTGAGTAGCAGAACATTTTAACAATATGCCTTTACAGCACAGGGATATGTTTTAAAATAAACATACATTGCTCAAATACGCTAAAAATATTGCACATGGCGATTTGAAAATATGTGATTTCTTCCTATGTATATCTGATCATCCTTAGCCATGGAAAAACAAAACCAACACACATCCCACCGGGCCTAGAAAACATTGAGCAAGGCTTGTCAGAACCTTTGAAATGACAGCTCCCCATGGAAGCAAATCTGGACAAGAACCCAGAAGGTGACCCAGAAGCTGAGAGACCGCAACCCCCCCCCCCCAAAAAAAAGCTTTTGATCAAGCGGGATCCTGGTTTGCAATGTTTCCAACTAAACTTTCCCACGGAAACAAAACTGGAATATTATTTTTCAAAAGCGCATCGAAATCAGAGCTACTTTCCTTTCCTCATAATGAAAATGTAGCAGGGCCTGTTAATTCTATACCGGGGAGATTTGGACAGAAAGAATGCCCAGGCATTTGAGATCCAACTCAAAGGTGCCTCTGCCCCCATAACACAAAATAACTCCTCAACAAATAATCCTAAAACAGACATACTGCCATCACAAAGCAGCAACCAGAAAATCAAAATGAAAAATTAACATACAAAAAATAATGAATAAATACTAAAATACAATAGGTTTTGTTCCTGGACCTCAAGATCTTGGGAGTCCTTTAGCAAACGTACCTTAAATAACTAGGATGAGTCTTCCAGTTCGTTGTTTGTGCTTAGCTACCATCTCCTAATACCAGTGATATTCTGGATATTTTTATAACTCCCGTGAAAAGACTGGACTATTAAAGTTGTGTTTTGTTTCAAATTCTGTATTTCTCTTGCCTAATGATGCTTATGTACATTTAAAAAACCCACCACACAGCAGAAGTTGGATATGTCTCAGAACAATACTAACTAAGGAAAAGCTACGTTGTACCGTATCATTAGCCCAAAGATTTCGGGAACTTCTTCATTTATGCCCTGCAGCCATAAACATAGAAGCTTTTTGATTATGTTCTTCTGGGTAACCATCTCTAATGCTCTTCCGCCACAGATGCCCCTTGCGGTGGGCAGAGCTTCCCACGTGTGTGGTTATTCTGGCTCAATTCCACCAGGCTTCTACAAGACACATGCTGGGACTGCCCCTCGACTGCTGCCAATTTGCACTAAACTTTCCGGCCTCTAAAGTACACGGACATGATCTTTAAATGCTTCTATTCTTTGCTAAAGGAGAATTGCGCCTTGCATTAACGCTGCGCCCCCCCCCTTAGGTCCTCGTCTAGCAGCAAGTCATGTACAACTGCCCATCCTCTGCTGTGCAGACGGTGTAACTGAAACCAACAGAAAAACCTACACCTCCCCCTTATCCATGATGCCATAACAAAACATCAGAGAAGGGAAAGCCCCCCTCCCCAAAAAATCAACTTTTCAGAACAGTCCTTAAAAAAAGGCACATGTCCTTCCCATTTAAAGCCGACTTGGTCAAGCAACCAAACATCGCACTAAGGATGTGCCCAAAAAGATATTTTGAGTAGCAGAACATTTTAACAATATGCCTTTACAGCACAGGGATATGTTTTAAAATAAACATACATTGCTCAAATACGCTAAAAATATTGCACATGGCGATTTGAAAATATGTGATTTCTTCCTATGTATATCTGATCATCCTTAGCCATGGAAAAACAAAACCAACACACATCCCACCGGGCCTAGAAAACATTGAGCATGGCTTGTCAGAACCTTTGAAATGACAGCTCCCCATGGAAGCAAATCTGGACAAGAACCCAGAAGGTGAG